GCCACTTAAACATAGTGCGAATGTTGCTCCAGGCTGGAGCTGACAAGAATGGAACAACGGCAGAAGGGGCAACCGCCTTGATGTCTGCAGCTCAAAATGGTCACCTGGAAGTTGTGCGGTGCTTGCTCAAGGCTGGAACCGACAAGAATGCGGCCATGCCAACTGGGGCAACAGCCTTATTGCTTGCGACTCAGCATGGCCATTTGGAAGTTGCTCAGCTGTTGCTCGAGGCTGGCGCGGCTATTGAATGCCAGATGGAGCGACTGCTTGATTACGGTTGGCTGCTGGTGAGATTGGCCAGCTGGAAGTGGTGCCGTTGTTGCTGTTGATGGAGCCTATGCCGCAACACAGATGAGGCGACACGGTCTTGTTGGATTGCACTGCCAGGACGTGGGTGTTGGTATGTTCTGCTACTCATCCAAGTTGAAAATGGGGGCGAAGCATGGTGTCTTGAAAGTTGGAATACACCTTCTTCTAGCTGGTGGGAGATTCAGGGAGTGACTTAGGGTGGCGGTGTTTTGTTCGGGCACCCAGCTCATCTAGCAACCAAGCAAGTGGAGTTGCAGAGCGTTCCGGTGCATCTGGCCCTAAGGGTCCTAGAGGTTTTACTCTGGAAGATATGATATATATCTCGTATACTCCACCAGCTAATTCTTGCCAAGGACGCCATGATCTCATGCTGGCTGGGTCACTGAAATCCATGCAGGCTGTAGGAGTCGCAGAGTTGCCACATTGCCAGACCTTCCCCCTTCCGACATCTTCCCTCCACCACTCTAAAGACCACCATGCCTTTGCCACGACCAAGTCGCCTGTCAAAAGGACCATACCACGCGTGGCACGCTGAATCTGCTGGAGGCTCGCAGCTGTGACTTGGTCAACAACATGTCGATCAATTCCATGACCTTTGGAGGGATGGAGGAAATCGTCGTGCACGAAAGACGAGGCAGGCGTGCGTCGAGGCCGGTCTTGGGTATCTTCGTTCGCCTTTGGTTGGAGTATGTTGAGGATTGTTAAGGTATGTTCCCAGTCCATGCTGATCAACAAGGATTTTCCAAACCCAAAAGAATGGCCGGGGTGATCCATACTGATCCTCATGTCAGATGCGAGAGTCTTCAATAGTTCATGTTGGCTGGGCCGGTTCGTGTGTGGAGTCTTTTTGACCAATTTGGAACATTAATTATTCAAAGTTAGATTAGATTGCTTCAGGACATGGGCCTCAGATAGATATTGAGCTTGTGCAAGGAATCAATTGCCAGCCAGCAAAATATCTAGGTATTTGATGTTCACACGTGGTTTCAAATGACAACGAGGGTTCCCTCCACTTTTTCAGTTTCTGAGTCGTCCTCTTCAGCAGTAGATAGTCCTGGGAAGGGGGCAGTTGCAAGTCCCCAAGTCAAACCAATTCCGGGAAGCTGTTTGCACTGTTTCCGGCACGGCCTTTTCGCCTTGTTTGCACCATTCCAGCGCAAACAGTGAGAAATAAAGCGGGGCTTTTCGTATTCCCGCATGCTAACGACATGAAACGAGGCAGGTCGCCATGTAAAGAATAAGCGAGGAGACGGTAGTCGCCGCTTTCACGAGGTCTGGACTGGTTGGGCTTCGATATCACTCCAGAGGACGGTCGATGGTTCGATGGTCTCAGCATCGGTAGTCGGTGGCGGGGATCGCCAGAGTCCTCCAAGCGCCACTGAAGATAGATCATTACTAGACCCATCTTTTTTGCAGCCTATACACTGTCATAGTTCATTAGTTCATTGCTAGCTTGGCAGGAAGATGCAGGAAGTGTAGAAACTGAGTCTGAGCGGTCCCTTTGGGATTGAACATGTTGTGGGGGACCAGGGTGGGCGTGGTTTGGTCATGGGTGTATCCACCGATTCGGAAGTTCCCGGGTCCTGGCACACAAATCGAGTTGAAGCTGGTAGCCAGTCTAATCCTGTCTGATCCTTTTGGCCACAAACGTGATGCAAAGAACTGTGAGACTTTACTTTACTACATGAAGGAATAGCACCGCCCCGGTGTGGACGACTGCAAAGAACGCTGCCACATCCAAGGTGGAGAAGTCAGTTTGCTTGTGCTGGTTTTCAGTCATTGATTTCATCATCATGGACCTGCAGCTGATGCAATCCATCAAGAATTTTGATATGCTCTGTGACTCCCTCTGAGATGTGTGCACATCCCAATTCTGTTGCAGAGATTGAAGATCTCAAAGCTGCGATTTAACGCATCCCTTTTTCAAACAGTTTTCAAGCAATGGCAAGGGTGCCCCTCAACCATCTTGGAGCACTACCATCTTGGGGGTATACAATTGTCTGGTTATTTTTCTTCTCGTCTAAGTTGACAATTTCCACATGACAAGCCACCGGGGAGGCTATCCTTCAGAGGATCCACTTCTTCCCTTCCCGAGTCGAGGAGCTACTGGAGATTGCCTGCCGGGACTTGAAGGCGACAGACGTGGACCAGCCTCGGATCTGGGTTCATGGATCAGAAAGAAACCGCAACGTACAGAGACGAAAGAGACGTACAAAGAGAACGTGTCAGCGGCTGCTGAATCCCGCAACTTGAGCGGGATCCAAGAGTCGCATGAGAAGACGTACAGGATTTTGTAGGGAAGAAGAAGAAGTCTGGAGAACAGGTTTTCTATGATTTTCTATGCCTTCGTCCATGTTGGCTTTTTGGGGCGTAACATTGTGTGTAACCCCTTGTCTAGATTTATTAGGTGGCCCCAAGTGTACATGAATGCCAGTGCGATCAGATTAGATGGTGATGCACATCACCCACTCAACTAGTACTTGTGCCAGTGGCTTAAAGAAGTTGTGTCACTCATCGTTTTCCATGTCTCCTCGTTCCCTCCAACTCCTTCAATTCAATCCTAGGCCTAGGCCATTTCTCTTGCTATTTCTCGTCTTAGGCGGAACGGTGTGTGTGTGTGTGGGCGACTCTGCCGAACTCGCGAGGTCGCTGGTGGAAAGCTGGACGAGCAGGTCCACTTCTCGTCAGTTCTCGGAGTGGCGTGGGCTTGGGCAGAAGCAATAGCACATGAGGGGTGTAAAGATCCTGCCTACCCACCATTTATTCAATCACTCATGATCCCTCCACCGCAGAACCTCCGGAATTTGTTCACCCCTTTTTGGCGAGTGGAGGTTTCAGGATGACATGCTTGTACGTACCCATTTTAGACAAATCCGAATCTGGCATGTCCCGGCTCAACTTCCAGTTTCAGTGCCATACATCCGATCTAGGCATTGCACCACCCAAAAACTCCTCCAAAACTCGGAAAGCGAACGTGGCAGGAACACTGTGTGAACGACTTTGACCTGGTCCGCCTAGTGCGGAGCGTCCGCGAGCGAGAAACGCGCTACGTGGAGAAGCGCCTGAGGCGCGGGAACGTCGGTCTTTGGGCCACGCAGTGCAGGTGAGTCGATGTGGGAGGTCAAGGGAAAGCCTTGAGGATGTGTGAATTGGTGGAGACAATGGCATTGGGATGCATTGGGTTTTGATGGTTTAGCACTCGTCAACCCCCCATTTGTCATCATTCTGGCCATCTTGAGGCCCTAGAAGACTTATTCCACAGGTGTTCCCACTGGGTGGGACTACCGCCTTTGAGGCTGAGCAGTGCCATGAGCCATGCTTAGCAGCTCCACACAAAAGGGTTCGATCGCCCTCGGAAATGCCGGGAGCCACGATTGAGGGGGATGGTCAGACGGATGAGTCTTTTCCCAGAATTGGTTCAAGAGGTTCAAGGGAATCCTGCCAGAAACCCATAGTTTTGGGGTTGAAAGTTGAAAACCATCGTTCCCTGTAAATGTCCCTTGAACCAATTCATTGATTTTGTTTTGACGTGGAAACCGTGTTTGGGATGAGTCTACAGTCTGAGGGTGGCGTGGTCTCAGGGTCTATGCGCAGGTCAATCCATTCTGGATCTTCAGATGTTCATTACGTCGAGGTCTTTTGCTAACATCCCATGCAAACTCTCAGAGTGCATTTGGGCTCAACGGGCTGCACCTCAATTGCAGCTTGAATTAATGGAGTTTAGGACTCTTTCAGGATCCACGATCATCAAGCTTGATGAGGAGGAGTTGAATGAGATGGTGGTGAGTGAAAATGCGCGAGAGAATTGAAAACACTCCTCGCAACTCGAGTTGGATATTCGAGGTTTCGACAACGGCTCTTCGCGGATGATATGGGTGAGTTGCGGGGTGAGATGCTTCTAAGTCGACTGCCAAGCGTTCAGTTGATCATCCTGGACCTTCATGATGCTGATGATGACATGGTGGAGCAACTGTTTTGTGCATGTGAGCAGGGCAGATGTGGAGCAACTCCTACAATGAAGCCGTTGAACCCCAACCTCAGGAGCCTCAGACATGTGAGCGACGGCTTTTATTTGCGGTAATGAAGATTAGTCTAGGGGCCTTCCTTTTCTATAGCCCAATGTCAGATTTAGCTGGCGAAACGAGGTAGGAACACCCCGAGAACGAGATGGGCATCAAATGCGCCATTTGTTTGAAATGGCTTGGTTAATGACATGTTTAGCTTGTGAAGCGAGGTAGGAACACCTCTCGAGAACGAGATGGGTATCCAGTGCACCATGTACAGTTGAGAGGGTTTTGCTAAATGTCATGTTTAGCTTTTGTTGCAGCCTATTTGGGGAATCAAATCCGCCTTTCATCATGGCGTGGCGAGTGGAAACTCGTTGCCGCTATAGTGGTGGAGCAGTTGGGCAGAGCTACCGAAGCATGACAGCACTAACGCTGAAGCAGGGTTTGAGATATGGCATTTGAAGTTCTTTGAAGGAGCAGCTCTTCTTCATCTATGGGCCTTCTTTTTACCGACACTTCATCCCACTGAGGAATCTTCATCTCTCCGGAAGGCAAGCAGCACCGAAGCCTGCGGCAGGCTACCCTGCATGGATACAAGGAGATGTTGGCCGCTTAGGAGGGTGAACCGGTAGCCGCTTGGGAAAGCCGGCTGGTGCACCTACCTGCTTTAATTGGGCGGATTTGATGACTTTGTGTTTGGTGCCTGTTGCAACAGATATTAGCTTCTACGGAACTGCGCGGAAAGAACTCACCATTTTTGGGTGCTGTCTGGTGGAACACGCAGCTGCAAGCACTGCAGCTGCGCCAATGCTTCAAAAAACTTTTCTCATCTTTGTCAGCGACATTCTGGACCACACTGCCTGCAGATCGGTGACTCTCCTGGACAAGGCCATTGCCTCCCGTTCTTCTACCAGAGAGCTGGAAGGCATAGACCTTATTAGTGACTGCGCCGGTCATTTCAGAAGTTATGAAACAATGCACTGGGCGTTGGCGCGGCAGCTAAAAGAACGACAGATTGATGTGGCTTGGCACCTTGGGGTGGAAACACATTTGAAACATGATTGCGACAGGCTGTTCGGATGGTGGCGACAAGGACTGCGGTGTGTTTTGTTAAATCAAATGAGCATCATAGAGAGGTGGCTGAATTGCAGCGCGTCATGCAGCGACACTTTAATGCCGCTCGGGAGCGTGACAAGACATCTCCCTGTGTCAAAGTTTTGGTGGACAATCCAGTGCCAGAGAAAGTTTTCAAACTTGAGTGCCCGCCAGATTTCAGAATCAGCAGAACTTATTGTGTTTCGGCCAGGCCTAACAAATACAGTGCCTGGGGTGTATCAATTTTCAACCACATCTATTCCAGTCGCCCCACATGAACGCGAGTGCATGTGGTTTCAGTTGCTGAGACTCCGGGGCCAAAAGCTTGGCGCAGAGGTTATTATGGCCAAGGTGCCGAGCAATGGCGTACTGATCCTGAACCCCTGCAAGTTGGACAGGACAGCCACCTGTCAAAGCGCATGGATGCTCAAAGTGTTCATTTGCCAAATCACCGGTCTCGAGTTCACGGCAGATACGATTTCCAAAAGGCCATGGCATCAGTGAAGAGAAGACAGCAAAGGCGCAGACGCCGCAAAGCAGAGAATGATGCCAGCTCTACTTCCTCAAGCTCAAGCACGGATTCCACAGATTCTTCTACGAGCTGAGTAGAAAGGGCACGGGAATGGAGAACGAGGTCAGCCCGAACCAAACCCAAAAAAACGATACAGGAATGGAGAACGAGGTCACACGCCAAAAACGATGCGAGGTTGGAGAACGAGGTAAGGTCCATGTGATAGTTTAACGGAAATAAATTCCATCGCTCATGTGACAACAGCAACAGCTTTGCTTCAGCAAGCAGCGATCCTGCTTGAACAAGATGACTATGATTATCCAAACGGAATCGGGGAAACCGCCTTGATGACTGCAGCTGAGCATGGCGACTTGGAAGTGGTGCGCTTGTTGCTCGAGGCTGGAGCTGACAAGAATGCCACAACCACTGATTGGTCAACAGCCTTGATGCGTGCAGCTGAGCTCGGCCACTTGGAAGTGGTGCGCTTGTTGCTCAAGGCTGGAGCTGACGGGGCAACAGCCTTGATCGATGCAGCTGAGTATGACCAGTTGGAAGTGGTGCGCTTGTTGCTAGAGGCTGGAGCTGACAAGAATGCCGCGACCATTGCTGGGGAAACAGCCTTGATGGGTGCAGCTAAGTATGGATGGACACTTGGAAGTGGTGCGCTTGTTGTTGGAGGCTGGGGCGGACCTGAATGCTGCAACCACTGCTGGGGGAACAGCCTTGATGCGCGCAGCTAAGCATCGCCACTTGATAGTGGTGCGCTTGTTGCTCAAGGCGGGAGCTGACAAGAACGCCGCAACCGTGCTGATGCGGGAGCAGCTGTGTGGGTGGCAGCCGCGGAAGATTTTTTGACTCTTGCAGATCTGAAATGACTCCTGGGAAGCTGCACGGTTCTTCGGCAGTCCTAGTGCGCAACCACCAGGCCCAAAGTCGTTTGAGGAAGAAAGTGGCCGCCTTCAGTCACCGAGGGTGTTGGAGAAAGCGGTCACCTTTAGACATACGCAGCGAAAGTAATTTGTGCACCTTTGATTTTCTTTGTTCTGGGATGATTGACGTAGTCTGGATTTCTGGGGCTTTGCTGCTAGTTTTTGCAGCGTGGCTGCGCCACCATGAACTTGTTTCTTCCCTCCTGCCCAATTCGCGTCAATGTATTCAAGCGAAAACAGTTCCTTTTAAATGAGGGCACCCATGTTGCAACCCACGATGGACAATTCCATGTTTACATATGTTTACATAATATGTAACATGTAACCTAGCATCCCAGAACAACCTTTGAAATATCCTGGCCAAGTGGCCAAATTAACGTAGAGGTGACATTGATTTCTGTAGACATCCCTCAGCTACTTGTAGAAAACAAACACCAATGTGGACACCAAAAAGGATCCCCAAATCTACCAAAATGTGTGACAACTGTGGAATGTTTTACGTCTCTCTCTCCAATGCTTGTTTTGGCCAGGGAGAAGACAGGTGCTGCAGAGGAGACTGCTGCAATTGAGGGCGGACTTGGAAGATCTCATACGTACACTCTCATTGAAATCAGATGCAAATGTAAAACAAACTCACCGGATCTTGAGATGTTGCTTGGATCTCACCATCTTCTGGGTGGTGGTCTCAGATATGTTTATGTTCAACCCTTTACTTTGATTGAGCCTTGAAACCACCAACCAGTCTTGTTTACCTACTTGCTAAAGCCAGGATCAGATACGTGTTGCCCAGTGTGAGGTTGGTGGAGGCGCATAGCGACCAACGGAAAGCATCTGGTTTTTCTCTCCACTTTTCGGGCCCCTAGGCCCCCAAGGGGGCACCTATCTCTTTGCCCATCAAGATTCTCTGCAAACAGATGCCACCATTCTCGATGAACCACTATGCTCCGCGTCTTTCGAGAGCTATGTTTCGTGTTCCCGGCCACCTTCATCACTTGCCAGGAGACCACCGAGGATGCCGCTGGAACGGCTGTGCCCCTGCAGGCGGTGTGGCGAATAGATGACCGTTCCCACATTGACAGGAAGAATTGATGACGTTTTCATTGCTAGACTCTGACTCTAGACATTTCTAGACCACCAAGCTTGCATTGGTATCGACATGGTGGATAAGGTCTTCAGAGATGGGCAGATGCGCTTGCTCGATTGAGTTTGCCATCGTTCGGCATACTAACATGATGACAGACCCGTGCCATGGATTGATTAAGCAGAATGCGACTCAAAGTTGGCTCAGAACCAGGCTGGTAATACCACAACTAGCTGCTCCCCCAAGCATTGGAAAAGTACCCTTGGCCCTTACCAATGCATCTCCCTCAAAATCGGCTATCCCCCTAGTCGGTTTCGCTCACGATTCTGTGAGTCAGGAGGGGCAAAGGAGTCCTTCCCGTTGATACTTCCTGTTCCGTCCTCTACCACGTTAGTTCTGCGGACCTTTTGCGACACTGCCTTTAGATAGTCCATGGCAAGGGCGTTAACCAACTTTTTCTGCTCGACCGGTTGTTTCAACCGGTGCACCGGTTGTTTCAACCGGTGCTCTCGACCGCCGGTCAGGCGTCGACAACCAGCGTGCCCACAGACCAGCTGCCAGAGCTCTTGAGTGACCTGAACGTGACCTTGGCCTCGCCGGAGGTGGTACTTGAGGCAAGCATGGTAATTCTCGGGGTGTTTCAATGAGTAGTTACAGTTATTTTTGCTTGTTTCATGTCTGATTCTCTGCAGTGGCGTTCTGATATGAACACTGTTGGGACGTTCACTCTTTTGTGCGACAAACAGATTCTAGAGATTACTCATGCTCAAGAGTGAACATGGGAGAAACAGGCCCACATTGCAGGTACATTATTTGCAGGGTCCCCATGCCCGGAGATAACAGCCACTTGAGAGGGTACAGATCATACAGATCCGTGTAAATGTTTTTTTTTGTTCCTGCCAAGTTGTATACCAAAACATGCATCTGTCACATTTCATCTTCAATGTTTTTTTCTTTTCGGGGATGACACGGCTCTCACAGGGTCTGGATAGTCTTTGGCCTTGCAAGAGTGCGTGAGTCTCTTTCCCTGTAGGCCATGGAGGCCACCGTCCCGGGAACGGTGAACGGAGGGGAGAGGTGTGGGGAACAGTCGATGAAGACTGCGGCTGTGTTGCAAGATGTTGCAAGACATGAGGGACCAGTCAAGACCCTCCCTGCAACAATCATGGGAGTGGACAACTCCCTCTTGGTAGAGGAAATAGTCTTCCCAGGGGCCATTGTCCACTTCCATGATTGTTTCAGCGGAAGTTGAGAGATTCAGCAACAGAACTCTTCGGAGAAGAGCAGAGATGGGTAGGTCGCGTTTCTGCGTGGTTTTGCTGTGTTATCTGAACAGATTTGCTCAAGAGCTTTGCCCACCTCCATAGAAGGCGGAGGTCACTCACTGCAAAGAACGGAACCTACAAGCAGCAATAGTCCACACCTTCCATCTCGCGCAAGAATCAAATCCATTTCTGTCTCAGACCTTCGTTGCAAGGAGCAACAATTCCACACACGTCTTGCTGTTTGCACGAAATAGCGGGATTTGAGTCGAGAGTTCTGAGCCATGAGGGTGAGAAAAAGAGGGAATTAGGTTCTTGCGTTCCAATTTCACGGTGACATGTGACGCAAGATGATGCAAGATGTTCTTCGGTGTGTATCGGAATTGGGAGACCTCTGGCGGTGGTTTGTGCATTTGTCAATGGATTGTCCATCAAGACATCCAATGACTCAGCACGGAGGCATCTGGACCCTGGCTTGAAGACCTGGCGCGCCAGCCAGGCCCTGGGACTCCGGAAGGAAGAGCTCACGATGGAGGACATCATGTGCTCCTGGCATCACTTGGCGATGGAGTCAATGTGGATCGATTCGGGTCACGCGGCATCATGGGCTTTGTTGTATTTTTTAGGTCGGTTGCCTGGCCAGTGGTGGTGGATGGCTTGTGATGGTACGGTGGGATTGCGTATTTGTGTTCCGTTGATTTGGTTGCTGCTGCGGCTGCAAAAAATCAGTTAAACCATGGAAAAGTGGACTCTTGCCCAGGTTTCTGACCCACACCGTAGCAACTCTAAAATGCATAATGTGAATGTGTGAAATCACATGAAATCACTTGTCCTGGGTTTGTTTGGTTTAAAGGCTCTTGGAAAAAGGCCACTGCGATTGCATTGATGTGGGGTGCCTAGGCTACTGACGGTTTTGCCACAAGCAATTGCGTGGCAAATTTGCTGGCAAGGAAGCAAATAGGAGTCGCTGGAACCACCTTCTTGGTAGGTCACTTCCCATTGCCCAGAGTATATAGAAAGGCTCCAGGCATAAGGGGCCTAAAACAGATGAGCGACAGGACTTTAGAACGTCCGAATCGAGGGACATCGCGACGTCGACTCGTCCGCGGATGTCGGACTCGTCGCGTGACTCGTCAGGCCGGTGCTATGGCACGTGCGTCGCTATCAGGGTTTGAGTCAGGCGCGACCACATGTGGCAAAGAGGACCGCGGCCGCATGACATCGTACCATGGCTATTTACAAAAGGTACTGGTTCTTTTGTTTTTCCGATTGATGTCAATAGATTCTGAGAAGACTTGTCATTTTGGATCTACAAAGACCAGACACCGAAGCATCACCACGGCAGACCGAGCTGGAGCTGGCGAAAGCGCAGTTCGAGCTGTGTGATGAGGATGGTTCTGGAGGCCAAGTGGAGCTGAGAAGGGCGGAGAAGGTATGTGTAGATTGGAAGTGTCCTACCTGTAACAGTCAGACATAGTCAGACACAAGGCCTTTACTTGTTACTGGTAATAGGATAGACGTGGATAGACCCAATCTATAACAATATGACAATATGTATTTGTTGCAATGTCTTGAAGGTGTGTGCCTCAAACTGACTCTCATGGAGGTTACATGGGTGCTGGTGCATCCAAGCTGCTTCAGCATGGATCGTCAATCAGTTCATTCAATAGAACAGAAGCAAGTGTTCAGGGTCACGACTACCGCACGCTACGTGCGACCCTTGGATGGCACGACCTGCCATTTTTTGCGAGGACGAGTTCTGAGATTTGCTTGGCTTGACGCCTCAAGTCAGTGAACCTTTTGACGTGGTCGCGGGGTTTGCGGGCTGGTGGATTAGTCTTTTTTTGGTGCTTTCATACTGCTGTAGTCTCTTCCGCGTAGAGGTTTGGAGTAGTGCTTGGAGTATATAAACAGTGGCTCTATTTCTGAAAGAATTGATTTAGGCCCCCAAGTTTGCATCTCGAAACCACAACTCCTTATCAAGTGCCCCTGAGCATTTCCCTCCTGGCCACTCGTCGGTGGGGGTTCACCCTCGTCGGTGGACCGTCAGGCATGGCCTGCTGTGAGTTGGAGTTTGCCATTCGCTCCTTGGGCTTTCCGGTGAACTACGAGGAGGTCCAGGACGAGCTTCCTGAGCGTCTGAACAAGTCGAGCCTCTGAACGTCTCCGAGCGGACAGACTGTCCGGTGCTTTCGGTTGAGGGCCGGGGGTCATTGACGCGCGTTTGTCCGGTGCTGGGACTGCGGTTTTGGAATGGGGTCCTACGCGTTCATGCTGCTCTGGACCAGCTTCTTTTGAAGTGCACGGGCATTTTCTGCAAAGCCAATGTCGAGGTAAACTGGAAAGGTGCTTTCTTTTTAAAACTGAGATAGGAGGCTTCGCTGCAAATCTCACATATGGCTGGGAATTGGGATCAACTCAATCAAAAGCGTGGTGCCCCTCTACTCCCTCTAGGTTCTCCATTTGTG